GTTGAAATTTTTGAAGTGTAGGTGGTGGTGTAGGCTCTTATGGCCGAGAATAGAAGGAGAGGGATAGAAGTGACAAGATTGTTGCATTGGAACATGAGATTTGCCTAGATACATGATGTATAATTGCATGGATACACATTAAACAATTATGAGGTGTCAAGTAATTATCCATGGAATTTTTTTAGACAAAACTGCACAAATGGTCCCTGTGGTTTGCTCAAAATTGCCACTTTGGTCCAAAAAAGTTTTGACTAGCACCACAGGTCCAAAGTTTTCATTTTGTTGCGAGTTTGGTCCAATTTGATTTAAAAATATTTAAAATGACGGATTTACCCTTGTTATTTTCTTTTTCTATTTTTTATTTATTTAAATGTTTTTTCTTATTAAAAGAAAAATAAAAAAGAATCTCTTTCTCTATCTCTCTCTCTCTCTCTCTCTCTCTCTCTCGTTTTCTTTCACGCGTCGAGAAACCCAAAACAGAGACCGGAGGCTGCTGCCTCCGATCAAGCTATCCAGCCTCTCCCTCGTGTGTCGACTGGCGAACCCAAACACCCTCTGATCATGGTCGATCTCCGCTGAAACAGTCCCGATCACAAGCATCCATGTTTCTTTATTCACCGGAGAAGAAAGGTACTCAAGCATCTTTCCGCTTTGCCTCCTGTTTCGATTCGCAAATAGCTCCCTCGTCATTTCCTACTTCATCCATCTAGGGTTCGAATTACCCTCTCTTTGCGGTTTGATTTTACCAGATATTGAAGCTTGCCCCGACAATTTTGATTTAGGTGTGATTAGGGCTCGAATATCCTCAATTGGAGCAACAGTGATAGCATACCTGCAACTCGAAATTCAGATGACATGAGTAATGTACCTCTCCTCCTAAACCTAATATTGTCGGCGACTTCAACCTCTCATTGTTATTCTTACGTAGTAGCAGCAGAAGCATAACAGAGGTGGTCGATGGTGGTGACCAAGAGCAGCTCTACGGTGGCAGGAGGCTGCCCGACAGTCTATCGACTGCTTCCTTTTTGCTTATGTCGGCAGTGATTGTCGGAGGGGAAGAGGGAAGAGGTAAGGCAGCAGGTTGGAGGGTTGCTTGGGGGTTGTCGTGTCACCGGTAGACGAAGGGATAATGGGTTGTGAAATGGTGGTACACGATGGCAGAAGGTGGCAGTGGGGTGACGAGTGGTGGCCGCCATGTTTTTCCTTTGTGTATCTTTGAAGAAAATGAACGAGAAAAAGGATGGAAGGGAGTGAAGAAGGTTTGAGGTATGTTGGCGGAGTGGTTTTCGATCCAGTGAGGGAGGTAGAAGGGTAGTGTGTGGTGTTGGAAGAGAGAGAGAGAGAGATTTCATTTTTATTTTTTTATTTTGTTATAAAAAATTATAAAAATAAAATAGAAAATGACAATTTTCTTTTTTATTTTTTCTTTTAATCAAAATAAATATTTAAATAATAAAAAAACTGAAAAAGAAAAATATAAGGGCAAAATAGTCATTATGAAAAGGTTTATAGAAAGCTGGACCAAACTCGCAACAAAATGAAAACTTTGGACCTGTGGTGCTAATCAAAACTTTTTTGGACCAAAGTGACAATTTTGAGCAAACCAAAGGGACCATTTGTGCAGTTTTGTCTATTTTTTATCTATAGGCCAAGAAACAGAGGAAAGAGTGAAAAAAGAGTGTTTTGAGCTATATTGAACAATCTTGAAATTTTAGGCCCAATTGAAGGTTTTCGGCCCATTGGGCCCTTCTTATGGGTTTACGGCCCAAAGGTGATGAAGGAGTTGGGTTTTTGGCCCAATAAAGCCCAAGAAGATTGTTTACAACCCAATAAGGCTTATAAAAATGAAGTGAGACATTTTAGGCCCATAAAAAGTCTTATAGCCCAAATGGTTATAGTTTAATGAATGTGAGTCCAATTAGGGTCCATATAAGGACTCTTAGCCCAAAATAACCAAGTTATGAGTTTATTGGTCCACTAGGCCCAATAAATGATTTATAGCCCGATTGGGGTTTGAACTGGAAAATTAAGGTTTCAAATCCACACTTGGGTGTATGAGATGTATTAAATTAGGTTTTGAACTTCACAAATGAATTTTGGTTAAAATAGTTGTTTTTTGAATGACCATTTGCACAAAACTTCAACTTAGGTTACAAGTTACACTGAAGTTAATTACATGAATACAAAATTTCCTAGCTAAAAATGCTAGTTGTGACACTCTTGATATGAGAAATCATACGAGAAATCCCCTACCGCCTACTTCACCGTTCGGGCAGCAATGAAACCCCCGAAAAGGACACGACCAAGTTTCGCTCGCATATGTATGAGAAAACGCCATAAACCCACAAAAAAATCTTATAAAGCCTCAAGGGGAGGCTCGAAATGAGAAGCAGAAAACTAAAGTAAAATGTGCCACTCTAACAAAAGGTTGGAGTGCACAATGAAAAACAACACCGGGAAGAGACTCTACACCTTCTTGAGTCCTAAAATGGTTGCAACACTTGAAAAACTCATGTAGACATTTTATCGAACACCTTGCAAGCAGAAAAATAAGTGTTTGATTTTCACCAATGAAGCTTGAGAATTAAATCCATGTATGATCTTCAAGCTTGATGATTAAGTAGGAGGAATTTTGAGTTTAAGAGAAGATGATTCTAATTTTTTTTTTACTCAAAATGAAAGCAGTGAATAATGGTAAAGGGATCGGATCCACGGAGATTGTTCAATATGCAACTCTATAAAATCTCTTATAAAAACATGTGTAAAACGACAATAAAAATAAAAATGGGAATTTTCGTCTTTTGCTTGTTTTAAAGAAACTATATACTAAAAATTAGAAAATACGAATTAACAAGTAAAAAGGTTTACTCATATCAATGAGAGAGAGAGAGAGAGAGAGAGAGAGAGAGGATGATTGACATTGACCTTCACCACATGGATATCTAGTTATCTTATTATTATATGTCATGGTGCAATACTGGTGATTTAATTTAACTTGGCTATAGTGATTTATAAGCATAAATTACCTCAACTCTTCTTTGTTATTAAAATGGATAAAGAAGCTTATAACACATTTCTTTAATCAAAGTCACAAAATAATGAAGCATGTAATTTGTGAAATTCAATTAACCTTAGGTTTTAAGAGTCACCAAGTCTAAAAACTAATCCAAATGCTTCCATTAACATTAAGGATTAAATACTTTCATGATTTAGGTGAAATGAAAACAAACACATAAATCATTTGTCGCCTGCTAATTTGAAGATATATGTACTTAACCTAGAAATTAACCAACTAATTAAAGATTTATTCATCTAAATTGATTATTAAAGACCAATAAACATAAAAAATACGTTTGACTAAAAAAATATTTCCATAAACTTCAAACACAAGTTCATAACAATCTTCAAACTAACTAGTTATCCAAGGATTAAAACAACATAAACCAAAGATAAACTTGGTGTAACATGGCCAAGATTAAGAAAAAGTAAATTAGTTTAGAAATACCCAACATAATCCAAGATGAAAAATAAGATGAAAATCCAGTGTTTTTCAAGCCTTCAAACTATCAAAAAAGCTCTAGAGAATCCTTTCAAATTTGATCTCCAAGATGTGTAAAAGAACCCACCAACCTTCTTCAAATAGCTGCTAAACATGAATGGATAAAATTGCCCTGTTGCGTTCCATGCGGGTCGCACAACTCCACGAGTAAATTCCATGTAGGCCGCATGACTTTCCTCCATGTGGTTTTTGGGCTTTTTTCAGCAATTAGGCTTTGGCACTTGTCTTTTGGCCCAACTCTTCTTCATCCGATTGTAGGCTCATGATTCTTCTAAATTGCTCTAAAGTTAGCCAAATTCACTTTTTTAATCATCCAAAGCTTGAATACTTGCTTGATCACTCAAATTCATAAACCCAAATATTATTTCCATCTTCTTTAAGTCTAAAGCCCATAATCCAATTCTTCATAAATCAAGTAGCCCAATTTTTTTTTCAAGTTTCTATTCACCAACTAACCTATTTTTCATCATCTTCAAAGTCACGGATCTTCAAATAAACACAAAGACTAGAAAATACCCGAAATATATATAAAAGAATAAAAAAAATATACATGGAGATTAACTAAAAACAAAATATATTAAAGTAAATATATAAAATACACCTCCTATAACTTAAAAATCAACATATAAACATGAATTGTATTCCATAATAAATGTTTTATTCTATTTTTGGATTTCTTAGATTGAGTTGTGCTATAAATATTTCTTCACTCACATTCAATATCACATCATGAAGGTACACAAACACGATTACACTCATATTTAGGGGTACATAATATGAAAATGGGTGTACTTTGTATAAAAAATGATCTACTAAAAATATATTTAAAAAAAATATAAAACAAGGCATCTTGTCATATTATGCATATTATTATATATATTTTTTATTATATATACTACACCTATTATATTATTTATCTGTTTTGTTATGGTATGTCCTCATTTGATTTGGAATATCCAAATATGTATTTAATAAACTTTGAATTAATTTTATATGTTAGACGTTACTGTTCTCGCCTTTGATTTGATCATTAATTTGTTTTTCAAATTAAAATAATTAATATTTAATATATGGGGAATAAATAAAAGGAGGGGTGTTTTTTTAACGTAATAAAAGTCTTGGAGTGGGTTGCCACTTGCCAGCAAAAACACAAACGTACGCATCACCAACGCCACAAGTCAAAACAAACGGCTCACTGATTATTCAACAACTCTCGTGTTCATAGATTCATTGTAGTCAACGCAAAGACCTGGTAAGCCAATTGAATTAGGTCGAACCCAATTCCGATTTTCAACCTTCTTTACTGCAAAGAAAATTCAGGTTCAAACCCACAGAAGGGGAAAAAAGGTATTCTTGTTTCGTTGTTTCAGTTGATGGGTTTTAATTATAGAGCCTCCGAAGTGTATGCGCGTCATTTGGATGTCTTGAACTCTACTTTCCAATGAGAAATCACCTCTGTTTTCAGATTTTCTTCATACAGTTTTACTTAATTTTATTTGGTGTTTCTTGTATATGTCAAATCGAGCAGCAATCGATTTTGATCCGGTTGAAGAACGAATTACAGTTCAATTCTTCGTTGTCATCAAAATTAGTGTCTTGGGAGCCAAATGCAGCAGATTGCTGCACCTGGATAGGTGTTAATTGCAGCATTGGGGGTCAGGTTATCGGTCTAGATTTAAGCAACGAAACGATATCTGGTGGTATTGATGATTCTAGTTCTCTCTTCCGTTTAGAGAGTCTTGAGACGCTGAATCTGGCTGGAAATAACTTCAATTCCACACCGATTCCTTCAGGATTTGGCAGTTTGACTAGCTTAAGGAATTTAAACCTGTCAAATTCGTGGTTTTCAGGCCAGATTCCTGGAGAATTGTCGCATCTGACAAAGCTTCAAGTTCTTGATCTGTCTTCTCTTTTCTCCTTTCGGTCACTGAAACTTGAGAGCCCCAATCTAGCGATGCTTATCAAAAACCTCACACAGCTTAAAGTTCTTTATCTGGATAGTGTGAACATATCGGCACAAAAATCAGATTGGTGCCAGGCTTTATCCTCTTCTTTGCTTGATTTGGAGGTTTTGAGTTTGTCAACTTGTCAACTTTCAGGCCCTTTAGATGACTCCCTTGGGAACCTACACTCACTTTCTGTAATTCGTCTGGCTCAGAACAATCTTAGCACTCCAATTCCAGATTTCTTTGGGAATTTCAGAAATCTGACTACTCTGCATCTTGGTAATTGTAATCTGCTTGGAACATTTCCCTCGAATGTACTCCAGTTGCAAAATTTACAGATTCTGGATTTATCTGTCAATAGGAATCTTCATGGTTCCTTATCAGATTTTCCTGTGAATGGATCTCTTAAAAGTTTAGTGCTCAGCAACACAAACCTTTCTGGGGCAATACCGGAATCTATCGGGAATCTTAAGAGCTTATCCCGGATTGAGCTTCCAAATAACAATTTCAGTGGAAGAATTCCCAAGTCAATGGAAAACCTCACCCAATTGACTTACCTTGACTTGTCCTCAAACAAGTTAACTGGCCAAATCCCATCCTTTCAGCTGTGCAAAAATCTTACCCACATTGACCTCTCACGAAACAGTTTATCGAGTATCATCCCTTCTGCTCATTTCCAGGATCTTCAAAATCTTGTGTTATTTAATCTAAGGTTCAATACCTTCAATGGAAGCATACCTTCATCTCTGTTCAATCTGCAGCAATTGCAAAAGATACAGCTTTCCAACAACAATTTTGATGGTGTACTTACTGATTTTTCTAATCCATCAGCATCTTTATTGGACACTCTTGATTTAAGCAGTAACAAGTTGAAAGGACAAATTCCCAAGTCCTTCTTCCAACTTAGAAGGCTTAATATCCTCTTGCTATCGTCAAACAACCTCAATGGCACGATTTATACAAAAGATTTCCAGGGCCTAAGCAACCTAACAACCCTTGATCTTTCCTTCAACAACTTGTCGATTATCACAAGCCCAATCCCCTTGCTTAATCTTCCAAAGTTTTTCTCATTAAAGTTGGCTTCATGCAATCTTCATAAGTTCCCTAAACTACAAAACCAATCAAGATTGATAAATCTAGACCTTTCAGACAACAAAATTGATGAAGAAATACCAAACTGGATCTGGCAAGTTGGCAATGGAAGCCTTTCATATCTGAACCTTTCTCGTAACCAGTTAGCTTCCCTCCAAGAGCCCTATTTTCTGCCCGATCTTGCTGTCCTCGACCTGCATTCCAATCGCCTCCACGGGGCGATTCCAATTCCACCACAAATTGCGACCTTCATTGATTACTCCAACAATCGTTTCAATTCCTCACTCCCTGAAACCATTGGGGTAAACCTCACTTTTGCGTATTTCTTTTCGGTTTCTAACAATTCACTCTCTGGGGAGATTCCCGAATCCATCTGCAACGCTACCTACCTCAAGGTTCTTGATTTGTCAAACAACAATTTAACTGGAAGTATACCACAGTGTTTGATCGAATCTGGTGGTGGCAGTATTGGGGTGCTCAACTTGGGAAGCAATAGTCTCAGTGGAAGAATCGAGGGAATATTCCCAAGCACATGTGGCCTAAACACTTTAGACCTTCATGGAAACCATTTGGAAGGAGAGATCCCAAGATCTCTTGTCAATTGCAGCATGCTAGAAGTCTTAAACCTTGGGAACAACAAGATGAACGACACTTATCCTTGCTCTTTGCGTAACATTACAAGTTTGCGTGTCCTTGTTCTGAGATCCAACAGCTTCCATGGGTCTGTGCTTTGTAGGGATCAACAACACAACAAATGGTCAAATCTTCAGATTGTGGACATAGCTCACAATGAATTCAATGGCTCTGTCCCTACAACTTGTTTCTGGCAATGGGAAGCAATGACAATTAATGATGATGGTGAACAATGGAGCAACAAGCACCTTACTTTCCCGGTGTTACAGCTCAATAACTTGTACTATCAGGATACTGTCACAGTCACTGTCAAAGGACTTGAGTTGGAGCTTGTGAAAATCCTGACAATCTTCACATCCATTGATATCTCCAGCAACCGTTTTTCAGGAGAAATACCAGACACAATTGGGAGACTCACTGCTCTGTATATGCTCAACATATCACATAACGACTTCACAGGCTCTATCCCACCATCTATCGGGAATTTGAGTCAGCTTGAATCATTGGACATGTCATCAAACAATCTAACTGGAAAGATCCCATCAGAGCTCACCGATCTTCCATTCCTTTCTGTTCTTAATCTATCATACAATCAATTGGAAGGAAGAATCCCAACAGGCTCCCAGTTTCAGACCTTCCAAAACACATCATACAAAGGAAATATAGGATTATGTGGGTCTCCATTGAACAAAATATGCTCCACTTCAGATGTAATCAAACCAAAGCACACAACAACAATTTTTGGAGATTCTAATGGATATGATTGGCAGTTTATATTCACTGGAGTGGGATTTGGGGCAAGTGCAGCCATTGTTGTAGGGCCTCTTGTGTTGTCTAAGCAAGGGAGAAACTTCTGGGACAAGTACACAAACAAGATTGTGGAGATTATCTGTCTGGTTTTGGGTATCCATTATGCAGCTTATGGGTTATTCAACCATGATGAAAATGAGACACAAGACATGGATGAAAGCTCAGATGAAGATGAATTTCTGTCAGAAGTTGATCAGTCTAAAGGAAGGTATTGTGTGTTTTGTACCAAACTTGATTTTTCTAGGAGACAAGCCATTCATGATACAAAATGCACTTGCTTCGACCAAACACCAACATTGTCTACCTCAGTGTCCACTTCTTCATGGGAAGTAGAGTCTTCGTTTACCAAATTGTGAGTTTTGATATCTAAATATCTTTCTTTTGATCTCCTTCAGATTTTTCATATGTACATAGATACAGAATGTGAATTCTAGATGTAGGAGAATGGAGAAGAATACAATTGTTTCTATAATTATTACCTTCATAAGCTTCACAACATGGTTTGTGTAACACCTCATTTTTTCATAACAAGGTTTATGAACAATGATTCTTGAAAACTCCCAAGGGCGATTGGAAATTACTTAATACAATGGAAATAATAAACGGTGTATTGCATAGTTACATAGTCAACATAGTGTCGTGTTTTTTACACCTAAAATGTCTATTAAAGTCTTGTCATAACCAAACCTGTTAAGAGCATCTATAATAGGAGAGCTTTATTTACAAAGCTTTTTGATGTCATTTCATTGACATATCACCAACCCAAAAAGCTTAACTAATACCCACAACATGAGAGCTTTTGCATAATCCATATGTGACTCATCAAAATTATTTATACTATTTTATGCCTTTTTGTATTAATTGGCTAATTACAATTGGTTGAATATATATATGGGCCCACAATAATGGTAAAAAAAAAAAAGCTCAATGAAAAGCTTGTAATTAATTAACAGGTTTTCTTGAAAAAACTTGGAGTGAAAAAAGTCCTCAAAGTAGGAAGAGAGCTTTTTCAAAAAGAAAAGGCTCTATTGTTGATGCACTAAGCAGAGCATCAACCACCCTTATATGATAAGTAAGCACATCAAAATAAGGCTTATGATTCACCAAAAAAATGTTGTGTGCTTTGACAACAAGAGTTTCAAAGATCATATGTTATTACAACATTACATAAGCATATTAACCACATTGTAAATTACAACAACATTAGTGCTAACAACTTACTAAACTTTTGTGAGCACATCTCAGCAAATTGTGGCCGTAAAAGTGGGAATAGTAGCTTCCTGAACCTCTACGATTAGCGTTGTAAATGACTAAAAGTTTTATGTGTGAACCGTTCGGTCAGAAGTTTGTTTATTTAATAAACGAAGAAATATGAATAAACTTTTTTTTTTGTTTGTTTAATTAAATGACAAACAAATTAGTAAATGTCCGTTTAAGTTTGTTCTCGTTCGTTCGTTTATATAAATGTTCATTTTTCTTTCATTTATAATGGCTACTTTTATAACATATATATTAGCCCAAGACAATAGAGGTGAGAACTTAAAACTTGAGATGTAAGGTGGAAAACCACAAAGGATAAAAATGATAAACCTTTATCATAGTTTTGATGTTGTGATAAACATTTGTTCATCTTTGTTCATTATGTACGTTTATCTTTAGTTGATTTATGATTTATGGGTAGTATGTTAACGAAGGACATGAACAAATTAAGTTATTAAATGAACGAACAGAAACAAGAAGATTAATATGTTTATGCATTCGTGTTTATTTGTTTTTTCGGTTAAACTTCAAGGCTTAAATGAATGAACATGAACATAACCCCATTTTGTTATGTTCTTTAAATCCCTACCTACAATTGCCCAACTTACATATAAGGAAACATTAAACTACCTAAAATAACTTTAACTAGTAAAACCTCTCGCGCCATTGGCACAGGTTCGAATGAGTTTAGCGAAATCTGTGGAGACTTGATTGAAATATGTAAAAGTTGTGGCGTTTCTAAAATGATCATAATACAAGTTGGGCAACAACTTCCATGTGAAAATATGTTAATAATCTTGACATTTTTATCGTATAAATAGAAGTACATGCAATTTTAATAAAATGCCTATTACATTACCGTTTAGACTAATTGAAAGAATCGTTTAAATATTACAAACTTAGATGATATTTTTGCATTTTCACGGCAATAATGAATGTTTAACAAAGTAATCATAATACAAAAAACTGCAAATGGTCTTTCGGTTGGGATTCCGACTCCGTACATCAAATAGATCTCCATGCGGGAGCAATTGGTAACCTGAAAATATTGAGAATTTATGAAAGTTACAGTGATAATTCTGAAAATAAAAGCAATAATTTGACTTCAAAGATGGTTGAATAAAATTATTATACCCCTTAATGATGATTCCTAATGACACAAAAAATATAGCAGTTTCAATCAACTTAAAATAAAAATGGGTCAATTTGGGTTATATTTGATCATTTAACATATCAAGTAGATAAATCAAAAAGTTAAAGCTAAAAACAAAAGAGGTGGAAGGTTAGACAAAGTGGATCCAAGTGTATGCATCATATACTGCTTATAAAGTTAGATGATTATGTTGATACTATAACTTTGCAATTATATGATATTTTAATTAGTTACAAAATAAATCAACTTCTCAATTATATAAATGGGCCGATTTTGGGTTATATTTTATCTTTTAATGAGTCAAATAAGCAAAAGGAAAAAAGTTTAGCTAGAAAAGAGAAGATGTGGGTGATAAGGGACCAAAAGTCTAAGATTTCCAAACTGTTGTGACAAAAACCCAAAGATAGTAAACTTTACTGTAACGACTCAATTTTCACATCAAAATTTTTTTTGTTTAAAAACGTTACTTTAGAAAATATTAATAACTAAAACATCATTCGATCATCCATAATATAAACTGAACCATGTCTGAAAACCAAAACATACAACTAATCAGAATATCAGAGTATCAATCCCAGAAAAGCTCGTAAATGCGGAAACCGGAGAGTGTGTGTGTGTGACATGCTGCTACCGCGCCGGCTCCTTTCCCCTAGCTGAGGAGGTACCTGAAACCAAAACTGAAACCGTAAGCACAAAGCTTAGTGAGCTCCCCCACAATACCCCATACCATGCAAGCATATAACAAACAACATTCAATTAGGAGATACGGGCCACGCCCACACTCGTGAAGATACGGGCCCCGCCCACACTTCGCTTTCTGAGAGATACGGGCCACGCCCACACTCGTGAAGATACGGGCCCCGCCCACACTTCGTTATCTGGGAGATACGGGCCTAGCCCACACTCCACTCTCGGAGAGATACGGGCCTCGCCCACACTCAACCGCCAACTCATATCATACAAGTATCGCACAGACAACAAGTGTAAATAATTCTATCATACTGGCATATATCATAATCAACTCAACTAAGAGATACGGGCTCGGCCCACACTCTAATACTAACGTCTCGTCTATACGGGCCGGCCTTGGTGCCTTAGACCCGTTACTACTGGAAGGAAACTCACCTCGAAATAGCTGCTGGTCTGTGTGGGAATTGATCACCTACTACTGCTGCTGCTGCTCCGGAAACTCCCCGGCTGTAATTCCCACAATATACTTAATCATACACTGCTAACTGTCCTTTGGGTAAAAAGACCATTTTACCCCTGGTCTAGCCCTAAGTCAATTCGGAGTCAACTTTTAGTTGACCCGACTCGCCGAGTGGATCTCCACTCGCCGAGTCCCTGTCCAGACAATTGTCCTGGGTCCCTGATTCTACTCGTCGAGTTGGGCTATGACTCGACGAGTTCATCTTCTAAACTGACATTCAACTCCTTCATCCTACTCGCCGAGTTGTATGAACAACTCGTCGAGTTCATCTTCATCCGAAGAACACATATGCTAAGACTCGCCGAGTTGTATGAACAACTCGCCGAGTCTGTTCTTGATCTATGAAGATTGCCTTGGACTCGCCGAGTCAGGGCATTGACTCGCCGAGTCCTAACATGGGTGAGTTCAGCTCCCAACTCACCGAGTCACCCCCTGTGACTCACGGCTCAACTCGATACATCATGAAGGGACCAATTCGGTGACTCGCGACCAGACTCGCCGAGTCACCTATACGACTCGCCGAGTCGCCGCCATGCATCCACCAAATACACCGATTTGCTCGATTTCAGTCCATGCCATTCATAGATCTGGACTTCTAGGACACAAATCACACGTAAAGTTTCCAACTTTACGTGTGGATATTCACCAATATGGATTTTAGGGCTCAAAATGCCTTAAAAGGGTAGATCTAGGGCTAACAAGCAACATGGGGCCATAAAGCTAACAGATCTGAGCTCCTGGAGCTCAATCTTGCCTAGATCCAGAGGCCAAACATCTTAATACGACATATAATGCACATACAAGCTTGGGATTTGACCAAGAAAGACCCAAATGAAGTTTTAAGCATAGAATCATGGGGAAAACGGGTTATACCTCAAAGGAACTGCTGGAAGAACACAATAGTTGCTTGGTTGGCTTTCCTTCTTCTGGATCTACTTCTTTCCTCCTTCAAAACCTTCAAAAACACCCACAAAAGTCTCAAACTCTCAAGGAACGGCTTAGACGAGGTATACAGGGCTCTAAGGGTGAATGGGGGTGGCTTGGGGCAGTTAAGTCGTTTAAATAGGGTGCAAACCCCTGAAACTTAGGGTTTCATCCAACAGCGGCGACTCGCCGAGTCTAGGATATGGACTCGCCGAGTCGCCAACTTAAAACGTGACCTGGGTCGCGTCTCTACTCGGCGAGTCGGACCCATGACTCGCCGAGTCCAAGGCTAAAATGGGAAATGTTCGAATAAGATTTACATACCAGAAACCAGGTGCTACAAATCTCCCCCACTTATTTTAGACTTCGTCCTCGAAGTTGCTGCTCGATCCTGAAACAGCTCGGGGTAATGCTCCATCATCTCGTCCATAGGCTCCAAGTCCATTCTGAACCCTTGCGGTGCTGCCACTGCACCTTCACTAATTCCACTCTCTTGTTCCTCAAATCCCTCGACTTCCTGTCGAGGATTGCGACTGGGCGCTCAATGTAATTCAGGCTGTCATCAACCTGAATATCCTCCAAAGGCACTACTGCTGAATCGTCCACTAAGCACTTCCGCAACTGAGAAACATGGAAAGTGTTGTGGATCTGGCTGAGCTCGGCTGGCAGATCCAACCTGTACGCCACCCTGCCCACCCGGGCTACGACCCTGAACGGTCCGATGAATCGCGGGCCCAACTTGCCCCGCTTCCTGAATCGAATGACGCCTTTCCAAGGCGACACCTTCAGGAGAACCATATCCCCGACTT